TACATATCAGAAATATACGATGGACTGTAGCTGCTCATCGTTTTGAGGTTCAACTCAATACACCTCGAACTTCATTGCTCGAGAACTCTTTCATTTTGAGAACTACGTGTATGTGGAATAAACTTGCTGATAACGTTTTTCAAATGAATTCAATCTTCAACGATTCAAATCCAACGTGAATCGCTACTTTCGCACAACACAGGCACCGCTCTTAGAGGGACTTAACGATTTTGTTTTAGTGCTTGCGTTCTGTCCATTAAAAAAAGGCAAAGGGTTGAATGATAGTTGAAATATTTCGTTAGAAATAAATGCAAATGCATTTTGTCGAGGATTATCAAAACTATTTATATTATGGAGAACGAATATTATTATATCATATGTTCTCACAATTATTCATACTGAAACATTTCAATTCCATTTCTCAACGTAGTGACGCAAATTGTCAGTTCAGCTTGTCTCACAATGTAAATCTAATATTTCCCGGATATCCATTCATTTTATGGTAAAGAAACAGGTGACCGAGATATAACAAACACCTCATACATTTCCATCCGAAAACCCACTTCCTAGACGTCAGAGAATTGTTCAGTTCGTCAACCGCATCCTTCCTCTTTCGTAAAACTATGTGCGAAATGAAGTGAACCGCGTACGAATGAATATAACTACAAGAAAATGGTATAAGGGATGAAAAAAAAGTCGTTTATCATACCATATTGGTTTGTTTTTGTTGGTTTGAAAAAACTTTTTTGTGGATGAACTGTTCAACTGAAAAATGTTTTCCACTGTAGAGTGGGATGCAAATTGTTCAGCAAGTAAATTTTCTTTCTCTATGACCGTTCTTGTTATTGAACCATCCGCTTACATTGAAAGTGGAATTGAAGACTGTGTGGAATTTTGACCAAAGATTTAAGCCACCGACCAGAAAAATCTAGAACTGTTAACAAACTTGTCGGTTAGCGTGCTTTTGGAAGGAGATACCTTGCTGCCAACTTTTTTGGTTGGTCGTTGATAGGCCGCTTTATTATTAACTTTCTATTAACTTTAATTAATTCATTACTAACTTTCGGCAAAACTTCAACAATAACACTGCCCCACACTTCAGGAAATGCATTGTAGGAAATAATGGTTTTGAATGTCCTCTGCAGGATGATGTCTTCAAATCAGCCTCCACCCTAGTGGATAAAATATAGCGGGCCAAGTCGGTCGAACACTTCCTGTTAATGTACTAGAAGCGAAAAAACATGTACCGGATCTTTTACGATTATAGACTAGCAACTTAGGGTATGCTTGGAATCGGAGATTCATATTGTGTGGGCAATCTTTTAAAAAAGGTGTAATTTGAGTTTGTCATTCAAGTTGCTGACTGTACAAAATTTTCTAGTTTCAAATATAATTTCTCAAAAACTGAGTTAGCTATTCCAGTTACAAGTTTTATCAATACCAGTGTTGCCAGATCTACTGTTTTCGCAGTGTATCTCCGTTGTGGTATTCGATTCAATTTTCTACTATTTAAGAATCTACTGATGACTCAGTTCACTTTCTATATACAGTAGAATTCATATATAACGAATCCGCTTATAACGATTATCTAACCTAACTTCAAACTCAGAATATTTCAAGGAAGAAGACGACGTGTCTCTGAGCATTTGGGCGAGGGCTATTGATATGCATCAGTCACCCATAACAAACGAGGACTTTGAACAATACGCGTGTGTCGATTATGTTGTCGCCACTTGTGAGGAACCGTCTGATGGAAACATTGTGGAAAATATAATTGCCAACGACGCGAATAGCAAATATAATGACGGTGATCATGACGCAACAGAGAAGATTTTTCCAATCTTAAGTGTGTCTGAACCTCTGAAGGCTGCGGAAACCCTCAATGTGTTTGTTCAGACTAACTTGGATGATGATGTTATGAAAACAATGATGTCGCGAATTCAAAATGCTGTACGAATCTCGTAGGTTGCAGAGGAGGGTCCAATAGATCCACTCACTTTGAATATACCTACCTAATTACATAACTGATTCAATCACGTCATTTATGACCGTTTATTAGTCGTATCGTTTTGGATAATACCCATAATACAATATGAATATGCTGGACGGACTACGCGCAAGAGTACTCATAGATTTCGAGAATTACTTACGAACGAACGATGATTCCTGGAATAGTCAATTAGAGTCAGTTCGGATTGTGATAACGAAACAAAATACAGTTGGGCTCGATACTCACTATGATGCTGTTCTCGGTCCGATCTCGCTCCGGTCTCGGTCCGATCAAATCTCGCTGTGTCTACACTACTAGTTCCACACTCAGTATGTCTCGATCCATAATCGACATAGAACGTTTTTCGAATTAATTCGATAAATTTCACTCGCCAAAAAATGGCATTTAATTTTTCAATCGAAGAATTAGCGATAATAGCTATTAGTTTGGACGAACAGAATACAAATGAAAAAAAATTACAACATAAAATGAAAAGAAGAAGAATGTGTATACATCGCAGTTTACTAACGACATATCGTCATTTGATAGACGACGAAGGAAAGTTTATTACTTATGATCAAATGTTATAAATAACTCAGATAAAGTACTTACCTTTTGCAGAATCCCACGATTTATTACTACCCATGACTAGAAGAAAAATGTAACGTCTCCTTGCAAGACCGAAGAAAGACTAGAGTTGAAACAAAAACGTATTCACACTGTCGGTACAAGTCATGACAGGTCCGATCTAGCTCCAGTCTCGCTCCAGTCAAATATTCTTTTCGACCAACTGGTACCGGCGCGATGCCGGATCGGAACCAGAGCGATACGATAGTGAGAATACTTTGATTCTTTCTTGTTTGAGAATACTTTACCGGACCGGGAACAGACCGAGACCGGAGCGAGATCGGACCGAGACAGGAGCAAGATCGGACCGAGAACAGCATCGTAGTGTGGATCGAGCCTTATGAGAGATGCAATTAGTGCGGAAAAACGCTGAAACATTCAGCTACTGGAAAATCATATGAAGATCTTGATTTTAGTGCAACTTGTATTGTAATCTCATCAATCCTTGAAGGTTTTCAAAAATGTAAATAATTATTCATTATTAAAAAAGTAAGATACATGCAAAGGCAACGGTTCGTCGGAAAACAAATGGTGGATCGTTGATAAATATTATTGGGCAGAACTATAAATCAAACTATGAGCGCCAGGACACTCATAGGCCTTTTCATCACAAATATTTTTTACGCGCATGCGTCAGTATCAGCCATCTTTTTCGTACTGTTTTTTGTAAACAACCATGTTGAAGAGCACGAAACTCATGTTTTGAAAATCAAAATATGAATTGAAGTTTATTAATTGCAAAAAAGTGAAAAAAAAGTAGTAAGTCAAAATAATCAGAAAAAAATGTCTATACCCCATTGTGATTATGTTATCTGTACGAAAAGGACCAACAAAACGGTTTTGTTATGGAGTATGTGAAAGTGATACACGATACAAATCATTCAAAACTAATACATAGGTACTATTTTATAAATTTTCCAAAGCCTTGTCTTGAATATCGCAAGAAATCATGAAGCAAATTACCTATTAAAGCATGTGCAAAATGTGGTAGATGTGAATTATGGGTGAAAAAATGTGTCAGGAATGCCCGAGGCTTTGAATCTATTGATGATGTTACCAAGGATACTTATATTTGCTCACTACATTCCAACTGAACAAAACCCTGATCCTTTAAGCTAACAGGAATTTCAACATACGTACATTATTCCTTATTGCATTTTTGACTGTAAATTTCATAAATTTCATTTATATTATGTTGTATTGAATATTTCCCTCTCATAAAAATTACTAAACATATTCAATTTGGTATTTACATATTTGTTTAATCAATAATGTCATATTAAATAATATCAATTAATGTTACAATCAACTGAAGTCATGATTTTCACAATGACTCTGATTGATAAAGTCTGTCAATATATCTCTCAATTATTTACAATATCAGTTATATTGAGATACTTAAATATATACATTTGGATATAACATTGAACCCAGTATCTACCACAAGCTGATGAAATTTATCCAGTAGAAATATGGAACTTAAAATTTCTCTATCACTCACCAACTCATTATGTCCAGTGCGAATGAGAGATATCTAAGCACAAGCCATAACATGCAAAAAACCTTCGACGCCATGCGTCCAGACACTTCCATCGCCTGTATCGCTAGCGTCACTTTGGATAGTTTACTTTTTCATGAAACCCGATGTTTTCAGAAAATACGCTTTTACAAGAATCTTCTTCACCTTATAAAGGGATTTTGGCGCTTCATTTGTCCAAGAAATACTTTGTTTTTCGTTCTGCCCTTGTTTATTCTTTGGTAAATATCTACAAAATTTCTTGATTTTGTTTTCAACAGAAACGAAATTTGATACGAAGAATTACATTAGAAAATTTGAAAATGATTGACGAAAAAAGGAAAATTGAATGGCCTCTGCAGTCTCCGATTTGTACATGATGCAAAAATTCATGATGAAGTCAAAAATACTGATGAAAGTATTTTCCAATGAAAAATTGTTACAAGTTTTGATAGAAACGAGACTGAGTAATTCTGGTGTTTTTCAAAATTCAACTCGCCTAGACAAAAATAATTATTTTAAATGCAAATTTCCTTCTAGTTTGTATATGTGAAGGAGAAATCCAAAATTGATTCGTACATTTTTTAATGACTTTCAAATATTTGTTCAGTAAAGAGTCAAGACAAATATCTTTAGTTTTGAGTTCACCATCCGTTTGATCCACTATTACCATGTTTTCATCGCCATTGTTTTGAAAAAAATCATAAATTACCATTTCTTCCACATGTTATATTTTGAGTCATACCAGGTGCATGGTTCTTAGGAAGACTCCATGTCGTATTAATGAAACAACCTTAAAATGATACATCAACATCGCACCATGTTTATTCAGCTTGTTTCAATAAACGTTCTCGTAAAAATAAACAATACACTCAGACTTCCATTTTTATTGAAACAAATGATGAGCAAAGCTCGACTGCGTATAATAATCGTTCGAAGTACTCACTCTACAATAAATATATAAATAAAAATAATAAATAAATATTCGATGTGTTATTCGATTCATCTTATAATATATCACAAATCGTACATTTATATAAAATTCCGATATTTCACAAGATTGTAGATTTTAATTTATCAGTCGTTATTCCAACGTAACTAATACTTCATAATCGGCAAAGTTCGCCTATAATTGAGTCAAAACCGCTAACTAACATCAAAATACGATATCACAAATTATGTTTCTACTTCTAACTGACTTGAAGGCTTTAATTACCAAAATATATTATATACTGACTGAAGTAAAATACAGGGAATACTACAGACTACTTCATTTCACAATGTTTTGAAAATACAACCACCGGAAAAAGCTTGATTTGGAAATCATTTTTCATTTTGAAACTAACCGAAACGATTCATATCAAATGAGAAGTTTTGTCATGAGTCAATATTCAAAACGAATTTTAAAAGCATGAAGATGCAAAATAATTTTTGAATTATTATTAATAAAGATTGGATGAGAAAATATAGTTTCTAGAAAAACCAGCATTCCTATTGTTTAAGCAACAAAGAAGCATTCGGTAACAATCGCAAATATTCGATTGTATGAAAACCTCTCGAATTTCAATTTCAGAAATATCTTTTGAAAATTTTCAATATTATCGTATGAACAAAATATCAAAGGAGACTTGTAATGGAAATAATTTTTTTTTCTGAATGTTTTAGATAATATTCAAAATTTCAGTGGCAATGATTATACATAATTACATAATTCAACATATTATTCAAGTACATATTACATAATTATGATTTGAAAAGCCCTTGAATTCCATATTCATGAGTGAAAAATTATTTCAAAAAATTCCCAAATGAACTCAATAGTGATGAGTCGGGAAGAAACAATTGTTGTAATTGTTGACAATGTATCCAGCTACAGAGCTATTCACAAAAACCATTCATCTAACGCTCTATAGAAAATGTGCTTTATTCAATAGAGTTGAATGGATATGTTTTGTTTTCAGCTTTGAAGGAGCAATTAACTGAATCTCGAAAGGTTAGCGAAGCCCTAAAATACATGAAATTCTTCAAACACGTCAAGTATTTCAATCAATTCCAATCCATCGAATAAAATATCTTATTCAGCTCAATTCAATGAAATAAAATAATATTCCCAGTGAAATATTTTCCTGCATTAATCGTTTTCCTTGGATTTTCGCAGAGATATGAAAGAAAAACCTAGATGAAGTTATGAACTGTTAAGTTTCGTTGTTACTTATTTTCCCCGCCGTCACCTCTTAGCTTTGTTTTCTGGATCAGGACCCAACTTCCTATACGAACATACGCAGTTACTAGGTATTGGAAAATATCCATATTCTAGTTTGCCACTATGACTCACAGCGACTAAACGCACTAAACTGTACGCCTGTTTGCAGAAGGTGGTGAAATCATTCGGCCACTGATCGTTCCCAAAGCATACGCTATTTTCATCTCTGTAACAAAAATAGTAATGAGTATATACTGAAAAAGAGTTTTCTAGATCAACTTTAAAATTATTGCTGCATAATGGAAGACTTGCTTCAAGAATAGTTCTACAAATTGAAATGGACAACAAAAACCCGTCACTTGTCGTCATCTACACCGTAAT